CTTCAAACAACAAGGCAGACTATAAGGCTGTCATCGCTGGACTCAATTTGGTCAACCCAATGGAGGTGGAACAACTCGGAATCCACAGCGACTCCCAACTCCTGGTAAAGCAAATAGAAGAGACCTATGAGGCTAAGGGAGAAAGGATGATCCTATACCTAAAAGAGGTGCGGGAATTAATAAGGAAATTTGTGCAAGTCGAAGTCAAGCATGTCCCCAAAACTGACAATTCTCGAGCAAATGCTTTAGCAAGACTTAGAACGGCCTCTTAGGATAGCCTAGATAGGTTAATCCCAATTAGGGGTGTCAATCCTGTCGGGTTAAACGGTTACGTTCCGGGTTAAATGGGTGATGGGTGAAAAACGTATAAACCCATACACGACATGTTTAATAAACGGGTAAAAAATCTCAACACGAATACGACCCGTTTAATAAACGGGTAACACGACACGACTCGTTTAACCTGTTTAATTTTAAAAAAATTATATCAACAAATTTTAATACTCCATTTTTTTTACTACTAATTGCACTTACCTCAAAAAAGAGGAATTTTAAATCAAATCTCATAAAAATAAGACTTGAAGGCTTTAAAAAAAAAACAAGAGGCTATTGCCTTTTATAGGCAACTCACTCTCCCCATCTCCCCTCATTTTTCAATGTGGGACAAAAACAAAAAACATTGGTTTGCCTTTGTTTTTGAAGTGCTCTACAACTCCTCTCATTTGTCTTTGAAAAATAATATTTGAAGGCTTTAAAAATAAAAGCAAGAGGTCATTGTGTTTTATAGGCAACTCAACCCTCCCTATCTCCCCTCATTTTCCAATGTGGGACAAAAGCAAAAGACATTTGTTTGCCTTTGCCTTTGAAGTGCTCTCCAACTCTTCTCCTTTATCTTTGAACTACTATTTTACTTCTTTTTTTTTTTTATTGATTTCTTTACTTCTTTTTTCTTGCTAATTTTTTAAAATAATTATTAATTTATTATTATATTAATTTTATTTAAACGGGTAAACATATGATAAATGGTTTGACAGGTCTCACCCGAACATGACCTGTTTATTAAACGTGTTTGACGTGTCAACCTGTTTATCACCCAAACCCGTTAAAATCTCACCCAAACCCATTTAATTCGTGTTGATTCATGTCGGTTAATCGTGTCGTGTCGAATTTTGACAGCCCTAATCCTAGTAGAGCACCTAGCTGAACCATTTGTGAGCCACAAGGATGAAGAAATGTTCCTTGTGTTGGCCCAACCGAGCTAGATGGACCCAATCAGAGAATACCTTTAGAACGGAACTTTGCCAGCAGATCCCAAAAAAGCCACGAACCTAAGAACCAGATTATCTAGATTCACAATCCTACAAGGAAACCTATATAAGCGAGGCTTTTTAGCACCTCTCCTTAAATGTGCAAGAGACAAATATACTAATTACATCCTAAGGAAAATCCACGAAGGCATATGCGGTAATCTTATCGAAGCTCAAGCTCTGGCAAGAAATGCACTAAGGCAAGGATACTTCTGGCCCACTTGGCTCAAAGACGCTGCAGGCATGGTTAAAAGGTGTAAGGTCTATAAGTTGCACGCCAACATCCCACATTGCCCTCTAGAGCTCCTCACCTCAGTAGTATGCCCTTGGCCCTTCCAGCAATGGGGGCTGGACATACTTGGGCCTCTTCCCACTTGTATTGGACAATGCAAGTTTGCCATTATCAAGGAAGATTACTTCACCAAATGGGAAAAGATGTAGCCCTTTGCGACAATTATAGAGTAAAAAGTTTAAAACTTCACCTAAAAATCCAAAATCTGCAAGTTTGGAATACCTAGAGCAATCGTTTCAAACAATGGGAAACAATTTGACAATCCCAAGTTTAGGAGGTTCTGTGCCGAGCTGGGAATAAAAAATTACTTCTCTGCTCTAGCTCATCCTCAATCAAATGGGCAAGTAGAGGTGACTATTCGAACCATAAAATGGCCCTAAAGACCAAGCTAGAATCCCTAAAAGAGAAATGAGTGGAGCACTTCCTAGAGCTGTTTTGAGCTTATAGAACCATAGCTAAGTTGACAACTCAGGAAACGTCATTCGCTTTAGCATTTGGAACTGAGGCAGTGGCACCTGTAGAGGTTAGTATTCCATCCCCCAGGGTGGAGCTCTCAAATCCCGAGCACAACGATGAGTCACACTTGCTTAACCTTTACCTCAACCTCTTGGATGAAAAGAGGGACAAGGCCTTGCAACGCATTATGAGTTACCAAAGGAGAACATCAAGATACTACAACAAGAGGGTCAGATATAGAAGCCTCAAAGTCGGGGACTTGGTACTTAAAAAGCTTTTTCTTGCGAGAAAGGATCTCACTCATGGAAAACTAGGACCTAATTGGGAAGGACCTTATATAATCTCAAAGGTAATCAGACTTAGGAACTACAAGTTGCAAACGAAAGAAGGAAAAATTTTACCTCACTCTTGGAACGCAGAACATTTGAAAAGTTTTTTCAGTGAACTCTTGTACGAAGGTCTTCATAAATAAAATGACAGCTCATTCAAGCATTTCATTAGTAGCTTAAAGCTAACGATGAACTCTTCAGCTCATAAATATAAGATGAGTTCTTCAATTCATAAATGATCGATGAGCTCTTCAGCTCATAAAAGAAAAATGAGCTCTCCAACTCATAAATATAAGATGCGTTCTTCAACTCATAAACAATTGATGAACTCTTTAGTTCATAAAAGCAAGATGAGTTTCAGCTCATAAGATGAGTTCTTTAACTCATAAACAAATGATGAGCTCTTCAACTTATAAACAAACGATGAGTTCTTCAGCTCATGAATAAACAATGAGCTCTTCAGCTCATAAACAAACGATGAGCTCTTCTGCTCATAAAAGCAAGATGAGTTTTAGCTCATAAGATGAGTTCTTTAGCTCATAAACAAACAATTAGCTCTTCAGCTCATGAATAAACTATAAGCTCTTCAGCTTATGAACAAACGATGAGCTCTTCGGCTCATAAACAAACAATGGGCTCTTCAGCTCATAAAAAATGAGCCCTTCAGCTCATAAACATAGCAACTAACAGAGTAAAATTTCAAGAAAATAAGCAAGGCACAAAAGAGATTTTTATTTATAAAAATGCTGGATTACAAGGAGAAGAAAAGGAAAAAGCCCTCAGCCCCTCCAATCCTTCTCTTTAGCTTAGATATTTCCTTTTCCAAACGAGTATTCAAAACCTAAAGACGAGCATTTTCTTACTTCAGCTCATCATGTTCACTCTCCACTTTTGTGAGTAGCTTTGAAAGGTTCAACTCAGCAACAAAAAATAAAATACCATCAAAAGAGGAACCAGATGACTTAGATAAGGAACCAGACGACTTAGATGAGGAGTTGTTCTTCCTACGTTTTGTAAAAGAGGTGGCAAAATCCTCATCCTCATCTGACTCAGAAGAAGGGGAGTCTACATCAAGAATAGGAGACAGAGGGCCTAAGATAGCATCCAAAGCAGTAACAGAAGCTCCAAACCAAAGAAGGTTTTGCGGAGTGATTAGCAAGGAGAATGGAACCACCTTAACATGAGCTACTTGGTTGACCCTCACCAACTTTGTCGAGGTCAGACTAGGGGCGCTTGCTCAGTAAACGCATAATAAGAACCAATCATAGTATCCACAAATTATAAAAGGGCAGATCTTGAGCTTTTACCTCTATTAGAGAAGTGGCTCCATGAACGAGGGACCTAGGAACGTGGGAATCGTTGCTCAAAAGACCCCCAAGAGTCCTTAGAGGCAAAGAAAAAAGAATGAGCCCACCCTTCATGAGAATTTGGAACATCAAGGATCAATAGAGGATCGAAGTGACGCCTCCATATGAAGCGACTGAAGTAGGGGGCATGTCATAATCAAATTCATAAAAGTAGAGAAACTCGGCAACAATAGGAAATTCACTATTGCCTTACAGGAGCCAAAAAATAAAGAAGCTAATCATGACACCCCATCCTTTAGGAGAAAGACGAGAGGGGCATATCCCAAAGAATGCCAGAATCCACCCAATGGCGGGATGGATGGATAAACGAAGACCCATCTCGAAAGAACCTTAAAAAAACAATTTCTCATTGGGGGAGAAAATTGCAAGGCTTATCAAAAATTGGGACTCGGAGGGGTAAGTCAGCAGGCAGAAGGTATCGCCTCTTGATTCCTGCTAACTCTATAGCTGTAATCACAGAAGGAAGCAGGAAGTTAGAATACCACACCATGTCATCATGGCTTGGGCTCGTTGTTTGAACAAGGGAGAAAGAGAGGGAGCCATGTAAACTAGAAAGAAGACAGAAAACAAAAGAAGTCTCAAGAAGAACAAGGAACGTGAAGAAGAAATTCCAAGATTTATAAACAATAAGAAATCCCAAATTTTATGGAAATAATAGGGAATCCCGAGTTTTAAGGTAGCAAGAAATGCGCAAAGACGAAGAGTAGAGCAGCCAGGCATGGACCCATGAAAAGTAGAGCTCAGACTCAAGAAATTCAATCCAGTTAATGGTTCCCCAATCAAATGGAAGGTGAGCTCTTCAGCTCATAAAGATAGGGCTTGGTCCAACACGAACTAAGGATGAGCTCTTTGGGTTGAGCTAAGATAACTCCATGGAAAATGAGCTCTTCAGCTCATAAAGCTAAACTACTCAAGTCAGAAAATTTACTCAACTTATAAAGCTCTTTAGCTCGCGAGATCCCTTCGGATCAATGGAACAAGACCAGCACCTCAACTCGAACGAAGGTTAGGTTCCTGATCTCATACTTCAAGGAGAACTAAGATCTCCTTGAAGCAAGGGGTAGAGGGGAATATAAAGAATGCAAGAGCACAACACAACAATCAGAAGTACATAAATTTAAAAGACAGTACAACAATCAAAAGTACATCAATTTAAAAACAAAAAGTACATGGAGAAAAACAACATTTTCTTATAAATAGCTAGTTCCAAAGTCCTTTACAAAAAAAAAAAGAAGCAAAAACATAAGTCTTAAGTGCCTACAGTCGAATCTACGATCTCAGTTGGCTCAGGCAACTTGGGAATCTTAGGAATAGTAGCCGGTGTGGAGTCAGCAGGAGCCTCAGGGAGCTCAGGAAGCTCGGGAGGAACATAAATAATGGCTAATGTAGAAGAAGCCGCAGAAGTAAGGACCACAGCTGGGGAAAAAGAAGCTTTAACACCCACAGGGGCAGAGACCTCGATAGATGAGACAGATACCACGACACCTTCAAGAACAAGCTCAGAAATGGTACAAACCAAGACCTCAGCCTCCTCCTCAACGCGTGGCACCTCCTCCTCCTTATTCGAAGGAGGGTCAAACTCAAAATCCAAGTCCAAATACTTTGCCATAGCTTGACCTTGAAATACAAGGTACCTAGTAGCCTAATTGGTGGTGGCATTATCCTCTAGCTTAGCAATTATAGTATCTTTCTTCTTAATTGCAACCCTCTTAGAATCAATCTCCCTCAGCCGAGTTGCATTCACCTTAGCCAAGATTTCGTACTCCTTTTTCATTGTCTTGAACCATTCAAGGGCCTCAAAGGCCTCTTTTCGAGATTGGAGAAAGCTATTCGTTTTCAACCTGAACTCTTCCTTGGTCTTCCTGGCCTCATCCTTTGCCTTTTCTTTCTCTACCTCCGAACCTCTATTGGAGGAGGTCAACACCTCCACTCGAGCTTGCAACTCCTACACCTGAGCCTTAAGGTCATTGTTGGAAAAAGCCAGCTCAACAACCTTAAGCTCTGATGCCTTCGACACCTTTTGAGCTTGCTGGGTTAAACTTTCCAAAGTCCAGACCCAGCTTACCAGGGCAATCACAAGAATGGCCAATTGAGAGAAAATACAACCAAAGGATAGAGTCAGAACAAGGCAACAACGTAGAACAAAAATGAGATTAGACGAAATCAAAACTTACCGAAGTGGCACTATACAAAGCAGTAATGGCAGAAGTGGAAAGGGGCATGACAACAACGTCTTGAATATCAAACTCAGGGATAATAGAGGCGATGGCCTTTGTAGCAAGTTTCATATCCCTGATCAGTGAACCCTTGCTCTTCTTCACCTTCACGCCCTCCACTAGCAAGTGATGAGTCTTCCTAGCGGGTTTGGGAGAAGTAGGTCCATACAAGACGTGGGAAATTGACTCCAAAGCCCCCTTAACCTCTACCGATGAAAGAGATGCTAAGGCGCCAAACTGTTCAGAATTTCCTTCGGAGGGGAAAGACAAGGTCCCTTGAGGGGCCGAGGTTAGCACGACCTGTGGTGAGCTCGACGAAGGCATAAAAGCCATAGGGGGAAGGGGAAGAGAAACAAGATGCACTTCTATCCTCGATACCTTGCAAGGGGATCTTCCTCCATTCATGCTCTTCCTCAACAGGACAACTCTCGTCTTCAAGGCTTTAACATCTGGAGTCATTGAGCTAGAACTTGGAAACCCAAAGCAAACAGATTAGAAAGTAGTTCAAAATGTCAGACCATTAAGAGAATATTGTCATCCCACACGAACTAATGTCCCGTCATGTTTTGTTTTTCCAACAAACGCTCCAAATCTTAATATCAAGCCAGGAATAATATAGTTATTACCACAATTTCTTGGTTTGGAATCTGAAAACCCTTATGTGCATATGAAAGAATTTGAAGAAGTTTTTGGAACTCTGTAAGATAGCTCTGAAATGGTCAAATTAAAACTTTTTCCTTTTTCTTTGAAAGATAAAGCTAAAATATGGCTTAACTCTTTAAGAGCTAATTCTATCACAAGTTGACAAGTTTTGCAAACTGAGTTTTTTAAAAAGTTTTTTCCTGTGCATCGTACTAATACATTAAGACGTCAAATAATGAATTTTTCTATAAAAGAAGGGGAAAATTTTTATCAATGCGACAATTTGTTGAAATGATGGTTTAGGGGGAATTTATGAGTAAAAACCCTGAAGAAGAGTTCCAATTTTTTGATACTATTTTTGAAAGTTCCCAGATGTGGGACTTAACTTCTTCAAATATAGTGAAAACTAAGTCATCTACATCCGAAAGAGGAACACATGTATTAAAAGAAGATGATAATTTAAGAGGTAAAATGACTAATTTATCTCGAAAGTTAGAAGCCTTAAAGATGAAAAAAATTAAACAAGTGTCTGTTATTTCTTCTATTGATCAAATATGTGAAATTTGTGCGTTGTCAGGACATCCTACAGCAGAATGTCCAACTATACCTGCATTTAAAGAAGTTTTGATTGAACAATCTAATGCTATTCCAACTTATAATAAGCCTTATTCAAATCCATATTCTGATACTTATAACCTAGGATGGAGAAATCATCCAAATTTTAGTTGGAGAAATACACAACCCATAAATCAAACACAAGGTCCAACACAACCAGAGAATCAAAAACAATATCAACCTTATCAACCCCCACATAGAAGAACTCTAGAAGATACTATGAATCAATTTATTTAGAGTCAACTGAGTTTTAATTCTCAAACAACTCAAAGCATTTAATGAGTTTNATATAGAATCCAATGTTAAAGCTTTTAAGCTAGATTTAAAACCTCTCCCAACTAATTTAAAATATTTTTTTTAGAAAAAGATGAAATTTATCTCATGATCATATCATCGAAATTATCTGAAAATCAAGAAAAAGAATTGACAAAAGTTTTAAAAAATTATCAAAGTGTTATTTGTTGGACAATAGCAGATGTAAAAGGTGTAAGTTCACTCCTATATACTCATTGTATCTATTTGGAAGAAGATGCTAAACCATCTTGTCAAATGCAAAGAAGATTAAATCCACACTTGAAAGAAGTAGTTCGCATTGAAGTATTTAAACTATTGGATGCTAATACTATCTATCATATATCTTGTAGTAGATGGGTTAGTCCTACACAATTAGTCCCTAAAAAATCTGGTGTTAGTATAATAAAAAATCAAGAGAATGAATTAGTCCCAATGTGTACAGTCACAAGTTGGCGTGTGTATCGACTATCGAAAGCTAAATTTTCTCAGCAAAAAAGATAACTTTTCGTTGCCTTTTCTAGATCAAGTTTTAGAAAGAATAGCTGGTCATGCATATTATTTTTTTTAGATGGATATTCTGGTTATAATCAGATTGAAATTGCAATCGACGATCAAGAAAAAACTACATTTACATATCCTTTTGGTACTTTTGCATAAAAAAGGATGCCTTTTGAATTATGTAATGCTCCAACTACCTTTCAGCATTGTATGTTAAGTATATTTAGTGATATGGTAGAACGATATCTAGAAGTTTTTATGGACGATTTTTCAGTATATGGTAATTCATTTAATTTATGTTTAGAAAATCTTGAAAAATTACTCATTCGATGTGAAGAAACAAACCTTGTTTTAAATTAGAAAAAATGTCATTTCATGGTTACACAAGGTATTGTTTTAGGTCATCTAGTTTCTGAGAAAGGAATTGCAGTCAATAAATCCAAAATTGACTTAATACCTAATCTTCCTTCACTGAAAACTGTAAAAGACACTCGTTCTTTTCTAGGTCATGCAGGATTTTATAGAAGATTTATTAAAAAATTTAGTTCAATATCTAGACATATCTGTAACCTTTTATGTCAGGATATATTATTTGAATGGAATGATGCATGTCAATTAGCATTTGATAAATTTAAAAACATGCTTATTTCTGCACCTATTATGCAACCTCCTGATTGGTCTTTATCTTCTGAATTAATGTGTGATGCAAGTGATTATGCAGTAGGAGCTGTATTAGGTCAAAGAAANCTATAGAATCCAATGTTAAAGCTTTTAAGCTAGATTTAAAACCTCTCCCAACTAATTTAAAATATTTTTTTTTAGAAAAAGATGAAATTTATCTCATGATCATATCATCGAAATTATTTGAAAATCAAGAAAAAGAATTGACAAAAGTTTTAAAAAATTATCAAAGTGTTATTTGTTGGACAATAGCAGATGTAAAAGGTGTAAGTTCACTCCTATATACTCATTGTATCTATTTGGAAGAAGATGCTAANTATAAAAAACTTTATGTTATTTACTATGCAAGCAAAACTTTAAATGATGCATAAATGAACTATTCAACTACAGATAAAAAACTACTTTTTGTTGTGTTTGCATTAGATAACTTTTGTTCATATCTGGTTGGATCGTCAATTATTATATTTACAGATCCTACAGCTTTAAAATATTTACTTACTAAGAAAGATGCTAAACTATGTCTCCTATGATGGATATTGTTACTTCCAGAATTTGATCTTATTATTAAGGATAAGAAAGGAGTTGAAAATGTGGTAGCAGATCGCTTGTCAAGGCTAAAATTATGATATAAAGGAAGAACCAATTCTAATTAGAGAAACTTTTTCAGATGAACAACTGTTTGCTATAACAGAAGTACCATGGTATGCAGATATAACCAATTGTTTAGCCACTGGTACTATTCCTTCTCATTTTACCTGGTCTGATAGAAATAAGTTTCTGAGCGAGGTATGCAATTTTTTATGGGAAGATCCTTATCTATTTAAATATTGTAAAGATCAGATAATAAGACGCTATATACCCAATCACGAAATAGGTCAGGTAATTTAGTTTAGTCACTTTGAAGCTTGCGGATGTCATTTTGCTTCAAAAAAAACCGCTGCTAAAATTTTGCAGTGTGGATTTTAGTGGCCAACTCTTTTTAAAGATGTACATAACTTTCGTTTAAATAGTGACAAATGTCAAAGAATGGAAAACATTTCAAAAAGGAATATGATGCCTTTAAACCCTATTTTAATTGTTAAAATTTTTGATTGTTGGGACATTGATGGGTCCATTTCTCCCATCCTTTGGTTATTTGTACATTTTGGTTGCAGTTGACTATGTTTCTAAATGGGTAGAAGTAATTCCATGTAGAAATAATGCTCACTGAACAGTGTTCACGTTTTTAAAAGAAAATATTTTATCTAGATTTAGAATTTCTCGAACCATTATTAGTGATGGTGGATCATATTTTTCTAATAAAATTTTTGAAAATCTTATGAAAAAATACTCGATTTCACAAAAAATATCCACTCTGTATCATCCTCAGACAAGTGGATAAGCTGAATCAGCTAATAGAGAGATAAAATATATTTTAGAAAAAACTGTGAATCCAGATCATAAAAATTGGTCCTTAAGATTAACTGATTCGCTTTGGGCTTACCGTACTGCATATAAAACTATTTTAGGAATGTCTCTTTATCGGTTAGTTTATGGTAAATCATGTCACTTGCCTGTAGAATTAGAACATCGAGCATATTGGGCAATCAAAATGATGAATTTTGATATGGATAAAGCTGGAGTTGCTCATAAAATTCAAATTAATGAATTGGAAGAGTTAAGAAATGAAGTACATGAAAATGCAAAGATTGCTGAATCAAGAACCAAAATTTTTCATGATAAAAATATCATGCGAAAAATCTTTTAAACCTTCTCAAAAAGTTCTATTATATAATTCCAAGCTATGTCTATTTCCTAGGAAATTAAGATCTAGATGGACAGGTCCTTATATTGTCAAGCAAGTTTTTGACTATGGGGCAATTGAAATTAAGAATCTATTAATTGGAAATATTTTTAAAGTGAACGGTCAAAGACTTAAACCCTATTATGATGGATTCACTCAAGATGTAACTTCTGTACAACTTTTTGATCCAGTTTCTGTGTTCCAAAAACAAAATATATATTGTTTAATTAGTAATAATTATTTGGTGTTTGTTAGGTCTGGAATTATAACTATTTCTTACTTCCACACTTGATTAGCATATCTTTATTTTCAATATTTTATATGTTCAAGATAATGTTTAATTTAGGTTGGGGGGGAGGAAATTAACTATGTTGTAGTGTTTTTATAAATTTGTTCATCTTTGTGACTGACAGACGTTAAAGAACCGGATAGAGAGTCAATTTTCAATAATTTTTTGAGTCATTTTCAAAATTTTTTGAAAAATAATTGCACAATGGACGAGAAACTGTTTTGATTAAGTTTAATTTTAATGTGCCATTTTCCAAAAGATATACATGCATTGCTCATGCAAAAAGCTAGAAGAGTTAGAAATTTAGAAATTTTTGAAAGTCAAGCTAGACCCATGTGTGGAAAAAGTACATTTGCTAAACGCTGACGAGCAAATCGTCTCGGAGGTTGTGTAAGATGTGGTTGTACAATACATTTGAGACAATATAATTAGTGTGCGTAACCAATTTTAGGTTGAGTGTTAGATCGTTTTCAGTGGATTCAGTATGGGCAGAATAGGGATTATCTTGAGATGCCATCCTATGCTACTCCTGTGTTAACAAGATACGTGAGAAGTGAAGTTAACCGTGCCACTGGTGTTGTTGATTTGAAAGACTCTGATTTTGAATAAGTGTGATCAAATGATATATAATTTTGGAATAGTACATAAATGTAAATA